TTTCTCTCGCCAATCCCAGTCACACTACATTCTCATCTACTTTTTTACTCCACACACACTTCTAACCTTATTTTTTTACTTGTTTTCTAATTCTATAGAAAAACAATTCTCATATATATTTGGTACATATTTTTACACATTTTTACTCACGTTTCTTTACAAAGCAAAATCAATAGATAAAAAAAGTTACACAAAAATTTAGAGACCTTTTTTTCATCCACCACTTTTTGTTGTAGATTTTTCCAATAACTATTTCATTTTACTGTTCTCATTACACATATTTATCTATATTGTTTTTTATACTTCCTCATGTCAATAATGTGATGAGAAAGACAAAAAATAACTACAACAATATGATGGGATTTAATTTCATGACCCCCGCCAATCATTTTACTGATGATTAGTTTTTGTTTTATTTGCTTTCAAAGTTTCAAATGTCATAATAGAGACATGATTACATTGGTGCCAATTCATAACTCTTTTTGGTTCATCTTTATATTGTTATTGTCTGAATGCTTTATTTCAGGTTTATAATCTATTTCTTCGTTGCATCGGGCTATGTAATTCCTCAGGGAGTCTGAAAGGAGCTGATGGACATTAAACAATTTGTATTCGACACCTTTCAACGTCGGCTCATCGAGAATCGTTGAACCATCTTTTTGGTGAATTCTTGGTAACTGACAATAGAGTGTCTAGGGAGATTCATGTACCATCTCAGGTCTGATTCCTTGAAGGTGTTGATCATAAGCTTACACTTCAGTGAATCGTTAGCCCCAATTATTGCCATTATATTGTTGACAACAATAATATACTGATGGGGGTCACACTTGTTGTCGTAAGTTACAAACGTCGGGGGCTTGAAGTTCTCTGAAACCTGATCATCCCAAATGACTTGGGACAATGGTTGAGGCTCCAAAAGCTCGAGCCTTGTGTCAGCGTCATCTTTGCTCTTCATTTGCACGACCTGGACGCTGCCTTGTAGTGTATCGTTTTGTTGGCAAAGATCATCTATCATGGCCAATAGTTGCGCCATGTTTGGTGGAGGATCCCCCTCAGGAGATATTGTTCAAAGGTTGGTTAATGTGGCCCGAGATAATTTTACCAGACCCAACGGTGGGCGCCAAATGATTTTGCTAAACACCAAATATGAGACTTCCATGCCGCTTGGAGGAGGACATGGAGAGCCTTAAATGAATAAGAGGGTGTTGTTTTTGATATTGATGGATTCCGAGGCTTACAAAAGTATGTGTATTCTCTAAGCGATGTGTCTTACTTACCCCTCAGTCAGGAGCCCTATATATAGAGGTGCATGAACCTCATTGATTACTGCATGTAACTATCGTGGTTTTCCATGTTACGTAACTGAGTTTCCTTAAAGGCATGTAACGTCCGTCGTCGCCAATGATGGCTATTATCATAACACGCATTGTCGTATAATAATGAGCGGTTACGCCCTCAATGGTCTGTCCATTGCGTAACGGCTCCATTAAGGTCGGGCTCAGGGTAACCTCTAGATCCAGGATATGAGCCCGACTGCTACCTCTTCATCTTTTTCCACGGCCGATTACATGACCCTTCGATCACACAACCCATTTTAGGCCTCGACTCGGAGTGGTAATCGGCTGATCGTCTACTTGATTTCCTTGGTCTTTCAACCATACTTTACCTTTTATCTCTTCTAGCCCGGGCAATAGATCTATGTATGAACAAATACTATTGGTGATATTTTTTTGTTTTGGTCGATGATTCAAATATGAGGCATCCCTTTTGTTTTAAATTTTAAGTCATATTATATTAGATTTGATTAGATTTAATATTTAAATATAATTCAAATTGTGTAGACCCAAACTCAATTATAATTTTATATAAATAGTATTATTTGTACAATTCAATAATATAAATTCTTATTTCCTTTATTATTTCATCCAAACCGACCTCCATCACACCGGCCTCCATCACAGTGACGATTTCACCGCGACCCTCCTCCGCTCATCACCGCCATCATCGGTCTGTCACGGAGTTGTTATGATCATCAACCATCACTTCTTTCCGTAGCAACCTACCACGACACTGTGATCTTCTGACCACAACCGAAAATCGCACATCCTCACTACATCATGGAAGTCGTTACTGCGAACAACAAACCACCTTCCACCGTCGAAGGTACTCAACCATTGGCCACCGCAAAAATTTGAAAGTTTTCATGGAATAGAAAGAAGAAGAACATAGATCTGTATTTGGAGAGAAACAAAATCGCTTTGGTGAGACAAAAAAGTACTGTCTGTTATTTGTTTTCTTACTGATATGTTAGAGCATGATTATCGCCTGCTGCACTACCGTTCCTACACAATATTCAATGTCATGCTGTCAAAATAAATGGATAATTGATCCAAACTTGCGGTTCTACATTTGCAACCGTTGTCAAATGTGAGAACATTTCTACACTCCAATTAAGTGGGTCATGATAATAAATTAATAAATAAAATTGCAAGAATGTAGTTGATTTGTTTTAAATCTGGGACCTATTTTAGATTTTTTGATGAGTTAGATGGATATTTGAGAATTGTAGATGAGTTGTTTAAAAAATTGAGAAGTGTGAAATAATATAAAAAATTATGTGGATCCCATTTAAAGAACCCAAATGGGTATGATGGATGTGGATGCTCTTATGTTTTATTATTTTTTATGACATCCGCGTGTCAATTTCGTACTGGCTCACAATGAGGCTTGAAAAGTCAAGGATATGTATTTGTTTTGTGTTGATTTAGAGTGCTAGAAGCAAGAGGCTGCACCTTCTTTCCCTTGCTTCATCTCTTTTGTTCTTTATATATCATTTCTTTGGGTTCATTATTATTGATTTAGGGTTTTAGATGTGGAATTGGGTCATGGGCCTTTATCTAATTAACTAGTAGCTCCTTTACTAACTACACCCCATCTGCTTTAGTTTATATATTGTTAGATTTTGTTATCTACTTAATTAATTTTGGTCAAATTAATTTTTATTATGTCATTTAGGTGATTAATCCAAAAATAGTAAATAATAAAAAACATTTGATAAATAACAAATAGTCTCCCTTGTGAATATTTCACTATTTTAATAAATCAATTTGTTCATAATCAAACTTTTTAAAATTCAAATATTTTTTACAAATAAAAGAATATCACATCCTCGATTAATTAGTAGGTCGATTCAACGCCTTACTTATTAATTATTTAAATCAAATTCAAACTAAAAGTCAATCAACAAATCAAATCAATTTCTTCACTCAACGCGATTTAATTCAAATAAGGATCAACTCCTTATAAAAGTCAATTTATTCGCCTAGCGCGATTTAATTCTAAGAAATATCAACTCTTTGTTATCGATCAACCTAACTTAAAATAGTTAACCAACAATCAAACATTTTCTACTAACTTAATAAAAATCAAAATTATTTCAAAAAAAAAGGATTGTTGGATCACTTTCAAATCAAAACTGCAAACTGCGTCTACGATCACTCTTTTTCAACCTAGAAAAAGTTCAAGGATAATTCGTAAGTAATTATACGCAATCTTATAAAAAAAATATCAACCAAGCACATAAGAACTATGAAATTGGACCTTGATTCTTCGCAAGAAGATATGTAGGCACGTGATTAAAACCAAGGTGAGTCCCTCAACTAAAAAACTAAACATTTTCTCAAACATATGGAAACCTTAACTTTTAAATATAAATTTCCAATTTTTATCCTAGAAACCTAAAATAGGATGCCCCTTGAGAACAAGGGAGATGAATGGTGCCTAACACATTCCATTCGTCTAACCAACTCGCGAACTTAGAATCTCTACACAATTAGGGTTATTCGTTATTCCCCCGTCCTTAGAACAAAAATTAATGGTGATGACTTGTACTTTTTTGCCGATTGCAACAACAGGGCGCGTGTCATACGCGTAAGCCCCCTAGGTGTGTCCCCCATACGTGTATGGCCTCCCCCATACGCGTATGGCCTCTCCCATACGTGTATGGCTAGTCTGCTACATTCAAAACTCTATTTTCGCACCAGTATGATTTTTGCTCTTTTGGAGCACTTTCAGGCTCCTAATTTTGACCCAAAACAGTGTTTTTACACATAACAATTCATAGTCTTAATCCAATTTCATTCAACCATTATTCTATAACAACTTCTTGCATCAAAACCTCACTTTTCATCATCTCTCTCTAGATCTACAATTTCAATTAGGAATTTCATGGAGCAACATCATAACATCAGGGATTATCAACAACAATCATATCATGGAAATCAAATTATTCACAAGCCTACATAGAATCACGTAGGTATATCATCAATCAACAAAAGGAATCATAATACACCAAATCTACACAAAACCCTAAGAGAGAAAGGAACCCTCACTACCCTCTCATGTTATAATCACCATTTAAAGAACTCATTCTTCCTCCTTACCTTAGTTTGGAGCTTTGATCCTTCAACAATGGTGAGATTCTCCTTGTCTCCCTTTTGCCCTAGCTTCTCTTCTCTTCTTTTCACGTGAAAATAATTTTTCCAATTCCTTCTACCACTCTCCTAATTATTCCTTATTATTTCTCAATAATAATAATAATAATAATAATAATAATAATAATAATAATAATAATAACAATAATAATAATAATAGTTATAATATTAATAATAATAATAATAATAATAATAATAATAATATCATTAGTGGCAAATACTCCATTTAACCAACAATGATATTTTTATTAATAATTATGGGATATTTAATCCTTCACCATAATTATCATTATTATATTATTATTCAAAGCTTACTCCAATTATTGAATGATACTAAGTTCTCACACCCCCTTAGTCAACCCGACATATTTCTACAAATCCAATCATTAAATAACTAAAAATTTAAACGGGACGTTACAGTTCCCGAGGAGTAGCCTTCCAACAACGTTGCTCGAAGCCACATGTCACCATCACTTCAATTGTAACAGCCTGAATCCCTGTAATTCCATGCAACCTCTGAAGATAAAACTTACAGTGAGACTTGATCCTTCCATCCACGCGACGAAGCCACGCAATCGGACAACCACGCACCGTAGTTCACCACTGATCACTGAAAATCTAATGGATCCAGACCTCCAACTCCGCCCAATCATATTCGGCTGCAACATCCAGGTTGGTTCCAGTTTTTGCCTCTAATATTTTTGTTTATTGTTGTGTTTAGAGATTGAGTTTTTGGTTGTATGAAAATGGACATGAAAGAAGAAGAGTGTTTAGAATGGGAAAGAGGATTGTACTTTTCGTTGGAATAAACTGAACGTGTGACTGGTGTTGTTATTTCATTGTTATTATTTTTTTGTGGAACATGTGGCGAGAAAGTCAAAAATCTAAAAGTTTGGGATGATCCACCACCCATATGTTAATTTCTTCTTTCTAATTTCTATTTTTATTTTCTTTGTTGTAATTTAAATTATGTTTTGTTTGAAATTATGATTTGGGCTATTGGACTTTTCTCGGTACCCATATATCTGCTTACACACTCCATTTATTTATTTAAATTTTCTTGTTTATTTAGTTAATCATTTTTTATTGTTTGTTTTATTTAATTATTTTATTTATGTAGTTTAGTGATTCAAGCTAATTTATTTTTATTTTAGTTTTATTAAATATAAAAAATACAAGAAAAAAATAGGTTATTTATTCTCATTTAGTTTATGTCCTTTTAACAAAAATACAAAATACAAAAAATGTCTTTAATTCTTTTAATAGGTTATTTATTTTGTTGATGTACATCATTTTAGGTCACCTGATTAATCTATCTCTCATTATCTTTTGTAAAGAAAGCTTTATGCTTCTCAACCCACATGTACATAAAATCAAACACTCTTTTCAAACTAAATTAATTCAAACATGTTACAAATGATAGGATAGTTGGATTTTACATTCATCACATCCTCGAATAATTGATTAGTTGACTTAACGCCTTGCAAGTTAATTATTCAAATCGAAAACATCTAAAAATTGATAAACAAATCAAATCAATTTCTTCTCCTAGCGCGATCTAATTCTAAGTAAGATCAAGTCTTCTTCAAAACTCAAGCTTAATCAAATCTAAAACAGCTAACTAATTCGAACTATTTTTTTCTACTAACATAACAACAATTCAAGATATTTTCAAATAAAGTATTGTCAAAATTGCTTTCAAATCAAAATTGCAAACTCCGTCTATGATCACTCATTTTTCATACACAAACAAGGTTCAAGGATAATTCGAAAGCAAACTCTATACAATCCTATAAAAAACAATAACCAAACACTATGAACTATGAAATTGACTCTGATTTCTTCGCAAGAGAATACGTAGGCACGCGGTTCAAAAACTAAGGTGAGTCCCCCAACTAAAAAACTAAATCTTTTCTTTTCATATATATATATATATATATATATATATATATATATATATATATATATATATATATATATATATATATATATATATATATATATATATATATATATATATATATATATATATATATATATATATATGGTAATAGCGTAATTTAAGTAGAAATTCTCAATAAGTCCTAAACCTAAAGAGGGTCCCCTTGATTACAAGGGAGATAAAGGGTGTTTAACATCTTCTCTTTATTTAACCAACCCGCGAACCTAGAAATCTCTAAACAATCAGGGTTATCCGTTCTTTTTCTATCCTTAGGATAAAAAGTAGTGGTGGTAACTCTCGTATTTTTTGCCAGTTACGATAGTTAGCGACTCTGTCGGGGACATAACTCTTAAGTTAAAGTTTTCCCTTTATTTAGGTGTAGGTTTTTTGGGTTTTTTTCTATTTATGTTATGTTGTTATTTCTATATTTGTTTATTTGTCCTTCATTTATTGTATTCACTTATTGTCATGATATTCATATATTGTTGGTGGGATCTTGTTAAATAAATAATGAACCTTAGAAGAATGATTGTCAATTGGCCAAGGGGGTTTAACATTCCTATGAGTTTTTGCAACAACTTCTCCTACAATGGGTCGAATTCTGAGGAATATCTTTAGAGGGCTAGCCTCTCTTGGAGGTAGGACTTTGGATTTTTCCAATGACTCTATGATTAACCCAAAAATAAAATATGATGGTGAGACCTTGTATGACCTACAAGACGAAAGTCTTAGTCTACAAAGAGGCTCCACTTAAGGGAGACTGTTGTGCATTTTCCCTTTTGTGTTATCCATGATACCCGTAAGGAAACCACCCTTATGAGGAAAGGGTAGAATATTTGTAGAACAACTGTAGGAGCCCTTATATAAGATGTTTTATTTACATCTTATCCTTCATAAGGATCCTCCTCGCAAGGGACTTTCTTTTACAATCCATAAACCTGTAAGGGTTTCCTCTTGTCTATCCATCCCTAAATCTGTATACGGTATTCACTACCCTAAACCCGTAAGGGTCTTCTTTTGTTTATCCCATAGGGCTTCCATTTTTTTATTGTAATCCCTAACATATAGGGTTTTCGTTTGTTTATTTCCATCTTTAAACCCATTAGGGTTTTTCCTAGGTCTACCTTTATCATAAGTCTGTATTGCATTGCATCTCCATGAAAAATTTTAGCATACCCTAAAAATGAAAATATTTTTGCATATCCATACATTTTCATCCGCATACGTACATTGTCATATCATTAAACTAAATTTTCATATCTATTTCCACTTTCTCCCTTGTCCAACATTTTTCCAGCTAGCTGATTTCCTGAGACTCGTAAAAAAACTCAAAGAAAGTCTCAAGGAGGAACACAAGTCCTATTGGAGAGACAAGGCAAGCCTTCACCATGACAACTATAGGCCTATACAGCGCCTCAGATACCTCAATCAAGGGTGACTCCCCTACATCGAAGGTAAAAGTATCAAGAGCAATTTCTCTATTAACAGAATTGGTATGCCCAACAAAAGAGAGGACAAAGGTCACCCCCTCACTTTGATCAGTGCAAGAGTATCAAAAAGCATCTCCTAAAGTCGGTGGATTAATAAAGAAGCTCGTTTCTAGGATATTTAGACTTTATCATTTTCAATTGTAATTTCTTAGTTGTTAAGTTTCATTTGTTATAAAACTTTATACTCTTTGATTAGTAATTCAAATAAAATAAGCATGTATGTTTTTGAAGTTAATTCATTCGTATTCACTCCTCATTTACCATCACTTTTCCATATGCAATATATATATATATATATATATATATATATATATATATATATATATATATATATATATATATATATATATATATATATATATATATATATATATATATATATATATATATATATATATATATATATATATATATATATATATATATATATATATATATATATATATATATATATATATATATATATATATATACTTTTCCATTTCAATTTTCAACTTTCCATTTCCACTTTCACCTTTAACAAACTTTGAGAGAGAATGATGTAAACAAAATAACTAAATGCGATGACGTACGATTTTAATAGTAAGACTTAGATGACGATGTAAGGCATTGTTTCACTTCCTAAACAGTGGAGAAATAAGGAGTTAATCCTTAGTCAACCCCTAGAGTCAAAAGTTGGAGTTCTTTCTATTTTTCAAAAAAGAAAACTCTTTATTTTAACCAGGGACTGGGTAGACTTCAATTAATTTGATGATGCATTCTAATGTTAAGAGAATTTGTCAATTTAAGCAAGATTTTAAGCACATCATCTTCCTTGCACACATCATCAAAGATCTAGGAAACAACAAAGATAACACTCATAATATCTTCTTCCTCATGTACATCATCTAAGATCGAGGAAGCAATAAAGATGAAGCTCACAAAAGTCAGCATTTGGCAGTCACAAACCATCTAAACCAAAAGCTAAATATTAAAAGTGAAATTTTCAAAAATGAAAAAAGATCCAAAAAACTGAAAAGAATTTACTTAGGAAAAAGTAAGGGTATCTCGATGGACCAACAAATTCAAAAGAATCGGTCCATGCAAAAATAAGGGATTAAAAACAAAAATGGAAACAAGCTAGTAAACGAAAGCAGGTGACTGGCACCTCAAAAATCATCAAAGTTTATTATCTAGTGCTTAAACCTTGTCAATGCTTCTCATCATCACTACTACTATGAAAATTCTCTTGCAGGTTGAACACATCTTTTGAGTTAATTGAATTTAGGAATGGTTAACATCAAAGAGAATGGGGTGGGTTAAATTTCAAATTTCGAGCCTTTTATCCTTTGTTTCTTAAACCATGAACCAGACCACATTATAATCTTCAAAAGTCCTAATTGAAGCTAGGTTCACTGTGAAAGCATATTCAGCAAAATTTATGTTAAATTGACTCCTAATGTTTGTTAATTTATTGCAAACCATATTGCTTTTCAAACCTTCATCCATACTCATCCATTATATGTCGTATCTGTTTTCCAAATCAAATTTCGATTTCAAAAACTTTCATGTACATCATGTCTGAATTACTTTTAGAAAGGTACAATTTTTTGCGCAAATCAATACTTAGCATCAAGGAAATTTTCAACAATGGTCTGATCAAAGGCGATCCATTTCAATAATTACTAACTAGGGGCAACGCACCTAAGGGATTCTCCCTAATCAGGGGAAAATCTAAATGATCATAGGGGCATATCACATGAAGATCTTACTGACTAGGTAAAACCATTCTAAGAATGGGTCAACTTGGTTCACATCTCAAAGCACCAACTAATCAGGGGCATACTTTTCAAGATACAAATGTTAGGGGAAGTCCATACCAAAATCATATCACAACATGGTGAGATATAAGGGCATTCCTTCATACTTTGAAGATTAAGGTGTACCTTTCAATATTCAAACCATGGGGTAGACCGCTGTGAGACTTAGAAACTAGTTAAAAACAGTTCATCAAAGGAAAATCATTCCAAGGGTTAGTTAATCAAGGGCATGGCGTTTTAAAGTTCAAAATAGTGGGACTGGCTGTCTCAAGTGAACAGTATGGCCAAACTACTTCCGTTAAGGAGAATCTCAGTGAAGACCCAACAGACAGGGGCAAGACATGTTGTGAAGGGAGAAACTCTCCTCCTACTTTCACGATCCCCAATGAAGCTCTCTTCTACATCAATAATCTTCGAGTTTCAAACGAGTATCAAGAAATCATGCTAGCATAACACCCTACCATTATGTGACAAGTTGCCTTGTTGCATAAAGAACCTTTCTACGTATTATATGTCCACGACCCTCCATAGGGACACCCTTTGTTGATGCGTTCATGTCACTTCATATATCATAGTCATGCATTCATTAGGTCGTTTCGCTCTAAGCATTAAGCTATACATATCATCTCATCCATCTAGAGTATTCCCTTATCAGGAATCTAACATCTATATGTCAAAAGCCCAATTAAATTGACATTTCAAAGTCCAACATCCATTGACACATGACCAAGTTACTGATAACACGTAAATGTATCGTATTTTTAGACCCAATTCACATGTTATTTAGTATCTTTTATTATATTTTCGTAGTATTATGCCATGCTTTGTTCGTGTTTCAGGTACTTGTCGATTATGGAGAGTTTATGTGAAGAATATTGGAAAGGAAGCAAAAGAGAAGCAAAAGAGCAAGAAATGGATAATTCTGCTGATATGGCGTTCGCCATAGGCAAATGGTGTTTTCCATAGGCAGATGGAGTTTGCCATAGGTAGACGGTGTTTGCCATCCCTTAGAAGTGCAATATCATTTTATGAAGAAGGCAATGGTGTTCGCCATTTCCCTAAGGGCATTCGACATTGCTTCGCAGGAAACAGCATTTACATTAGAAGTAGTTTTCAAACAATTATTTGATTTTGAATCTTCCCTCCATTGATGAAATTTATTTAGAGCAGTTGATGGGCAATTTTCTATATATATGGGACCTCTGGGTTAGTTTCAGACATCTAATCTATCGCGCGGAAGCACTGGTCATAGTTTTAGGAAAAAATCACAATTGTAAAAGGAGTAGTTTCTCACATCGAGGAACTAATATACCATTAGTGTTAGGCCTGCAATCTATGTAGTTCTTGGATTATTAATCTTTCCGCTATTAATTGAAGTTAATTCCAGTTTCTTTATTTTCGGTTTTACAGGTTATTTACTTATCGCTTTATTATTATTGTTGTTCTGTTTTATACTTGTCAAGCATGATGTCTTTAATTAAGTTTATCATGTTTATTTTGGTTGAAATCAATTCCATGTATGGCTAAAACATTTTGAGTATGGTATGTGAGAACCGTCATTTTCGACAGGACTCAGTAACTAAGTTGGTGAAAGTTTTGCATAATTTGTGTTTTGATTTTTGTTTCAAAGTTTAATTTAAATAGCTTTGTCACGAGAGTGAGAGGTTACTTAACATTGTTTTGACACGAGAGTGAAGAACAAACTAAGGTTCAAGCCGATAGCGCGAGAGTGTGAGAAAGGAACCAGATAGTGGGAACGGGGCATTGATTCTAAAAACAACGAGAGCGGTTTAGGCATCGTTTAGGATCTTATTGGTTTTCAAAATATACTTTCTGATTAAAACAGGCGAGCGAGAGAAAAATCTTGTGGTTAGGGAGTGTGGCTTTATTCAATAGCGCGAGAGTGTGAGATAGAGTCTTTAAACTGGTTTTTCTAGTGAATATAATTTAACTATAAATTAACACTGATGAGTTACAGAGTCCTTGAGGCGCACGGAATCCACATTCCGTCCTTTATTTTCATATATATTTTCATAATCTTTATTTTATTTCAGTTTTAGTTCTTTGTTTCCCTATAATCTAATATGCATAGACTTAACTTTATAAAGCAACGATATATTATAGTAGGTTGACATTGGTCTATGTGGGTTCGACATTCATTTATATTACTTCGATATTTCCGTGCACTTGCGAACAAATCAGTTACTCATTACATGCATTGATCAATCATTACACTTCATGCATCAATAAAAATGCACATCACATAAGCATAATCAATCATAACGCATAACATAAATTGTGTTTCATAGGAGGACAATCATCATTGTCATCAAGTAGATTCCTTGGTAAGACTCGGCAGTAGAATTCCCATCCATCAATTCGCGATGTGAGAAGCCTCACACACTTCAATCGACATAAGACGTGAGCAGCCTCACGCATTTCCATCAGCATTCAATTTGTAGGGAACCCTGCGAGCATGAGTAGCCTCATGCATTCCTCTCTGAATTTCATAAAGGCATGAGCAGCCTCACGCATTTCTATCAACATAATCGTAAGCATCCTTACAAAGTGTGAGTAGCCTCACACACTCCCAATCACCTTATTGATGTTTCCCAATAACCTTATCGATGCTAGTAACCTTACTAATTGTTCATTTTTTTCTAATCACCTGATTGACGTCTCCCAGTAACCTTACTGATTGTTCATTTTTCCAATAACCTGATTGACGTCTCCCGGTAACTTTACCGATTCCAGTAACCCTACTGAGGTTTGTTTCACAAATCATTTTAAAGCCATGTTCCCGTCTGGAAAATTATTTCAAAGCCTATTTCCCGTCTGGAGAAACATTTTAAGCCCAGTTCCCGTCTAGAAAATTATTTCAAAGCCTAATTCCCGTCTGGTGAATCGTTTCAAAGTCCAGTTCTTGTCTAGTAGTCAGTTGAGGTTTGACATTGTGTTTTTAAATCCAGTCTCATATGGTAGCCTACTTTCAAGTCATTAGTTCAATTTCATATAATATGTGCATTGCATTTATCAATCATCGCATAAGTCGTCATCGTTCATTAATCATATCACTTCACTCATAACATTATCATGATCATATCAAGCATACATTACAAAAACATACCATGCATAACACATACATCAAGCATAAACATATCAATCATGCATGACATTAAAATCACAAAGGCCCAAGAATACTTCGAGAAAATCTCAAGACCTATTTCCAGCTAAGACGCATTCAATATTCAAAATTCAAGCTTAGCATTATCCATTTTACACTATCACTATAGCTACTTCGGTTGAGAGCAGACACAACCATCAGAGGTACCAAAATCAAGATTACACTAGGAAATATACCTACGATCCGTATCTAAAGTCTAGTTATCATCAGCCTACGGGCGCATAATTATCAAGTTTCATTGATCAAATTTCAATTACCCATCTGTTTCCAGTGATTTCTGGTAAACAACCGCTAGTCTTCCAAACTATCGAATAAACTTACTGACTGTTATTCAATTTATTTGGTAACTCACAGGATCGACTAGATTGATCCTAGGATTCCTTGGTCATTAGGGTAACTCTCATGATCGAACAGATATTCATGGTTGATATTTGAGTGTTGTATGGGTGTTTAGTTTATTTCGATTTCTCTCTTAAAGGTCTAAAGGTGTAATCAAAATGTATGTGCGCGAAACTAACTTGCATGAATAAATGTTAATTGTAAAGACATGTAAAATTGCATAAAAAGCAAGTAAATGGCTTCGAATTATAAAAACAGTTAATGTAAAAGATGTTCTGGAACGTAAAAGATTTGAAATATGAAGAAAGCGTTTAATGCAAGAAATCTGTAAATGACTCTAAGTAAAAATAGGCTTTCGAAAGACAAAACCTGAAGATAAAGGCATAAAAAGTATGACAATTTTCTGAAATGTAAAGTGCTTGAAATGTAAAGAAAGCATTGAAATATAAGGCTTTAATGAAGAGATTTCGAAGTGAAAAGACTTTAAATGAGAAAACTTGTAAATGGTATTTGGCAGAAAGATAAAGGAAAGTGCTGGAAATGATAAAAGGTTTTCATTAAATCATAAATATGTGGTGCTATCATACGTACATTGCTCTTGCATTCGTTTCCCTTGCCATGTGGTAGTTTGAATGTTACTGAGTATTTAGTACAATAGATATGACACGCGAAATCCTAATACTAAGACTTCTATTTATACTAATTCGACCATAACGGTCTTGCTATAGGATTATGCCACGTTCAGAACATGCAGAACAATGCCACTCTCTTCTTTCCACGTGTCTCCAAATGCTCCAGCACATAAATTTCAAACTTCGAATGTCCCGCTTCCATTTGAATTTCAAATGTTTTGGTACTTCTCCGTTTCGAACGCACTTCCCAGACACAGCCTTGTTGTTATTTCGAGACTTCTTTAGATATGTTCCCATAATTGCCACTCGAAGCTCCAAGCTTTGATATGCTTATTCGAAACACTGCTTCTGCTACTTCGAAACATGACGCTTTGTTTCATTTCGATCGAAATGTTTAATTCGCTTGGCTTCTAATAATATTATCAAAATCTTCAGCCAACAAAATGCCCCTTTAAAATATGTATTTCGATCTCTCTGAGAAATACCTATTTTAAACATCTACACAAGATTTTGATGCGACCTTCGAATCATCGTAACATTTAATGCATTTGACTCCAGTCACGTCAATCATAACACTTTTTGGATTCCTTAACCGCCTGGAGCCACTTCACAGTATGGTGAAGTTATAAACAATGATTATCTTTAAATCACGCCTATTACCCATGTTAACTTTACGCCACCTCTTCATCACACCAACCCATGATTTCCACGTATCACACCCTCATTCAGTGGATGCTTAAACTTCCACATTATAAAACATCATCAACTTAGTATTTTTCTTTTCTTTTCACATTCTGAATCTTTTACCCTCCTTCTCTCGCCAAAAAACCCTAAGCTTTCAACATCCTTCAAAAATGTCTTCTTCTACTTCATCCCAACTCAAAAAGGTTTCCAAGAAGAAAGGAAAAACTGCAGGAACTACAATGGAAAGTAAGATTATCACTCACCAAGGTCAATCCGTTCTTGCTCCTCAGATGATCTCAAAGGAAAAAGAAATGTTGTATGCGTCACAGGTACTCATTCCTACCACCGTTGCTGGTAAGAGGTTAGCTTTAAATGGCCCTCTTACGGTTTTTGAAATTTTAAAAGATACCAGGACAATTTTCCCAGTTTGCTATAGTTTCAAACCCTTATTTAACAAAATGGACGCCCCTAAGGCAATAGAATCTTCTGGCTCAAACACCATAGAAAATCCAACTGTTCCTCCTAAGGACCCCTTTGTATTGGACTATGTAAAAAGTAATTTTAAGCCGTTTCGATCTTGCCCCACCTCCGATACTGCTTATCAGAACTGGTTCAAGAAAGTAGAAGCTAAGAAATCCCAGCAATGGGAAGAATTAGGTATCTATAACCTGATTAAGCTATCGAAGCCTGGTTTCACTTACAGCCACCCTCTGCTATTCGCGTCCCTCTATTTCTGGGACAGTACCTATAATACTTTCCATCTCCCAGGTGGAATGATCACCCCTACCTTCTTCGACATAGCGGCCATCACTGGGTTATCGCCAGTAGGAGAAACATACATCCCCGACAATGAAGAACATTCAAGCATAATTGACTTCGAAGTCAAACTAGCAAGTTTTTCCAAATTTATCAGTCACTACCATGCTGAGGGAGACAATGTGTCTGACGTAGAACACATTGCTTTATTAACCCTATGGCTGTCAAGATACGTCTTCTGCAGTAGATCCCTACAGGTAGCCAGTAGGTTCATTCCTCTAGCTAGGGATTTACATGAAAATCGAAGAGTGTGCTTAAGTGAACTGCTCTTAGTTGACCTCTATGAAAGCCTAAGGTCAGCTGTTTCGAGCCTCAAATCCCATACCTCCAAGAATATCCTGTTGGCTGGCCCCTTTTGGTTACTTCAACTATGGCTAAATGCCATGTTCGAACCCTCCTTGTCAACTGCCAACACCATTGACAAACAAGACCCTGAGATAACTGATAGGATAGTCGAAGGCACTAGGCTTCGAA